CTTAGCGCCGTTGTAAGGAAAATAAATCTACACAGTTTCTTAAAGAGGAGAAGATTCTCTTTCGATCTATTATTGTAACACATATATGCGACCGGTTCGTCAAACGAGTGAAAAAACTCTCCGAAAAAATGCTTACATTTGACTATCCATAATCATAACAAAAAACGAATCTGGCTAGTCGTGTTTGGTATCATTATATTCAGAATAATCAGCTGTATCTACCATTGTACAAAGAAATGAATATATCCTCTGTTGTCCTATAAACAGCGGAATAAAAGAATGCGGTTTTTACGACGCGCTAAAATCGTGACGTTTTATTTCAGAACATGCTTGAACATTTGATAGGAATAAAAACAAAATACAGCGATAAAAAATTATAAAATTATAATGTTTAGATTGTTTAACAATTTATCTTTACAGTTCAATTAGATTTTTTGAAGTTAGAGACACGAAAATGTGTTAAATACGCTTTTTAAAACTCGTAGTTTTGTATACTGTCACATAGCGTAATAAATAACGTAAAATGACTTGTGGTTGCTACTTAAATCTAGCAGCTCCATGTTAATTATATCTCTGTTGACATATTCAAGTAATATTCTAACATTCTCTAAATTACCACTGTAACAACTCAGCAAAAGTAAGCGGTGTTGTTCAGAAAGAGACCGGATAATGTAAAGATTCTGATTTGTTGAATCATTCCAATGTCTGAAATGACCTATATTATCTATCGCAATATTTGTTGGAATGTTTTCACCTCCTTGATTTGATTCAAATTTTGAGTCAGAATATGACGAATTCCAAAAAAGTTCAGATTGGGTTTCTTTGTATAAGTCAGTTTGATTCAAAATATAACGTAGAATTTGATTGTGTCCATAGTAAATAACCCAACTGATCACCCTTACATTGTATTCTGACTCTGGTATATCTCTTTCATTCACTAACACCCTTTGTCTGTCCTTCTCCTTGCTCCATGCATCCCACCCCTTAATTTCCTCTCTCACACGCTCCCCTTTATACTCACTACCTTAGACACGTCTTTATGTACTGAAAGAAATAGATACTTTAACTCCGTGTAAGACTTTGTTCCTATCACCTCAATGAAAGCCTGACAAGCACTGGGGTGTTTTAAAACATTCATAAAAACGTCATGAAGCTCCATATTTTCTATATCACTGTACAAACGTTCTGCTAACATGCTATATAGATTCTCGTCTATCCATATACAGAGATCATATGTCTCCAATCCATCACTGTTTTCACCACCTGACATACTCTTCTCTCCGTTTTTTGAACTTTCACTGCCAAATTTAACATTTAACATTTAACATTTAAATTTAACATTTAACATTGTGGACTTATTTATGTCGGTGAAACCAAGGGATCGCTTAACAAAAGAATATCAGGTCATATATTTCAAATAAATCATGGTGGTCAGCAGCTTTTATATATATCATTTATGACAGTAAATAATTTTATGCTGACGAATGATTTAATATTGCAAGTTGTGTTTATATTTGTGTTATGTTCAACATATATATTGTTTATATAGTAAGTTAGTTGTAACTGTAAACCCTTATAAGGGCCTATGCAATTTTTTCCCCACTGGGAGCCTCAGGTTCAATGCTGCAATCAGATTGGTCGAGAGTTAGCGTCGCTTTATAAAGTTTGTAAGACGGTAGACATTTTTTGTGAGGAGGCTGAGAAAAAGTTTTTAAAAAGATTTAACCAGTGTTTACGGCGGAATCACGAAATAATATCTTTAGGATCCATCCGTTGTTTTGAAAGGTAAAGAACATTGTATCTATTTCCAGTTGTACGAGTTCGCCACACGATTTCAAGCTAGGTACCTAGTACAAAAAGTTCGTGTTTACTAACGATGTGCATGTAGTTGTGCATAGTGTAATAAGTACGCCAAAACATTATGCGTGAGAAAGTATTGATCATCGGTCACAGTTTTATTGGAAGATTAAAGTGTATTTTGGGGCGATCTGAGGACATAAAGCTAAATTTTGGTCTTGATCTGGAGCAATGTGTTGTGAAGCTGTGCGGTCTCAGCGGGGGCACGCTAGACAGATTTCAAAGGGACGCTAACGTGTATTCGGTGATACAGTCGTTTCGCCCACGTGTTATCATTGCACAAATTGGTGGAAATGATATTTGTAGAGTGAGGATGAAACCAGAAGTGTTTGCGTGTGATTTGATAGAGTGGTTAGAAGCTTTGTTGAAGCAGTTTACTTTCCTTGACAGTGTTTTTATTTGTGAAGTCTTCATTCGCACCCGTCCCAGACACATAGATGCACAGACTTATGAAAGAAGGCGTACCGTTATCAATCAGATGCTAAAGGACATGTGTGAAGTACATAGTTCTATTATGTATTGGAAACATCTTAGACTCATTCACAGCCCATTGCAGATTATTAGTGATGATGGGGTACATTTATCCAGAATTGGGAATAAAAAGTTTTACAGAAGTTTACGGCTGGCAATTATGCATGCTGTTCGTCACCTGGCAAAAGATTAACAGGGATGTGTATTTCCAATTTCAGTTATGATTCTCCTCCTCTTTATAAGCTTATATAATGGAATATGCGTTTATATAATTGGAAGCGATTATTCAAAAAAAAAAAAAAATGAAATAAATAAATAGAAGCAATGAATTTGCATTATGCTAATCATGTATTTTGGTCAGCATCATCAACCTTAAAGCATGTATTGTGGCTTCAAACCAATTTTGACATTATCAGCCAGGAATCCTTGTCATAACATTATTCAAAAATCATAAGCCTCGTAATTTGGTCTATCGCCATATCAACCCTATAAGCCATGTACTTTGGTTTATAATCGTATCAACCCGATTAATCATGTAGTTGGTTTAGTTTATTATCAGCACTTTAAGCCATATATTTGGTCTATTATATTATCAACTTTTTAAGCCATGTATTTTGGTTATTATACGATCAACTTTGTTAGCCATGTATTTTGGTTTATCAAATTATCAACTTTTAAGCCATGTATTTTGGCTTATTATATTATCAACTTTTAAGCCATGTATTTTGGTTTATTATATTGTTAACTGTTTAAGCCACGTATTTTGGTTCATTATATTATTAACTTTTAAGCCATGTATTTTGGTTTATTATCATATCAGTTAATCTGATAAACTAGGTAATGACCTTGAATTTTGGTTTAAGACTGTGGCAGTTGGTATAATGGTAGCATATGAACATTGATTTTAAGCCATGTATTTTGGCATAATATGAATCAAGGGTCATTTCATGGCCTAAGGCATACCAGTAAATTTAGACATATATTTTACAGTATTATATGGAAGCTGCAAAATGAGGAGGGCCCAAAGATCAAAGAACAAGGAGGAAAGGCCTGCAAAGAGGAGAAAAACGGGGACAGAAGAAAGCCAAATGGTACTGGACATAACGCAAAACGTGACTGCAACAGTCCTTTCGGAGCTTCAAAAAGCAGGTATTTTGCCTAAGACTCCTACCACTGACTCTACTTCTCTGAGTGACAGTGCCAAATCTAGTTCCACAGAAACATTGTCAGGAAAAACAACAACATCAAATGCCACAAAGGAAACCGTATCTAAGGAGACTCCGGTAGAGCAACCCCAAGAGGATGTTGTAGAGCTACCTGCCTCATCAATCTCAGGTTCACAAAAGAATTCTGTAATTTCAGATAGTTTTGATAATGACATGTATAAGCCACTAGGCAGGCCCTTATACACCAAGGTATCTACGAAAATCAAAGAAAAAATATGTGCCAATGAATTCATTGAAATGTCAGATGTGTTAGATCCCCCTTCTGATATAGAGTTTTTAGATTTTCACTTAGCAGTAAAAAACAAAGGTAGAGTGGGTCTGAGTTCAGGGAAGAAGAAGAAGTTTCTGACAATCGAGGCGTGGACTGATGCTTTTAGTATTTACGCTTCGGTTCTCAGACACTTCAACAATACTGAGGTTGATTTGCACGAGGATTTAGCCATCTATATGGATTTAATCAGATCATTACAGAAAGATGGGGGGGACTGGTATCACTATGACATTAATTTTCGAAAGGCAAAACAAGGGGACAAGTCCTTGTCATGGAGACACATAGATCAAGTTCTTTACAGTAGGGCCCTTATGAAAAAACTGGGAGGTTCCCAAGGTAGTGTAGGTTCTTTTCGGAAGCAGCCCTTTCGTCAGTACTGCTTCAGGTTCAATGAAGGAAAATCATGCCACTCTGAATGCAAATTCCCTCACATCTGTGCAACTTGCTACAAAGACCACCCAAAATCCCAATGTTGGAAAAATAATGACAGAGCAAATTACAACAAAAGACAAACATACACAAAAACTAGCTCTTCCCAATCTGTTGATAAAAAAGATTAATCATCTTCCCACCCCCATCAGAATAAACAGATTAGAACATTATTTAGAAGGGTATGACAATACTAAAGCACAGTACTTGATAAATGGTTTCAAATACGGTTTCAGTCTAGAATTTACAGGGGAAAGGGGACATCAATTCAGTCCTAACCTCAAATCAGCATTAGAACACCCTGACATTGTTTCTGATAAAATTTCCAAGGAATTAAGTGCTGGTCGGATCAAGGGTCCCTTTAGTCAACCACCTTTTAATAATATGAAAATTTCCCCCTTAGGTATTGTTCCTAAAAAATTGCCAAATCAGTATCGGTTGATACACCATTTATCTTATCCTAATAGAAAAGAAGGCTCAGTAAACGCGGGAATAACGGATGAGGCAGCAGCTGTTCATTATTCTGGAATTAGTGAGGCTATTTCACATATCAAGGCTATTGGGGAGGGTGCATTTTGTTGTAAAACAGACATAAGATCAGCTTTTCGCATTTTACCTGTTTCCCCGAATGATTATGAGTTATTAGGTTTTCATTGGGAAGACAATTATTATTATGACAGATGTTTACCAATGGGTTGCCGCACTAGCTGCAAAATTTTCGAAGAGTTTAGTACTGCCCTTGAGTGGATTGCAGTCCACAGATTAGGTGTTCAGGCGGTTGTTCACATACTAGATGATTTTCTTTTTATTGAAAAATCCAAGCCGTTAGCATTGAAAAAATTTAAAGAATTTCTTGAAATATGTGAAGATATAGGCATTCCGTTAGCTGCAGATAAAACAGTTCTTCCTACTCAGGTCATTGAATTTGTTGGCATAACAATTGACATTAGACTTAAAGAGACCCGTTTGCCAAGTGACAAAATTGAAAAATGTATAGGCTTGTTGTCTAAGTTTCAAAACTTAGATAAGTGTAGGGTAAAAGAAATGCAGTCACTTATTGGAGTCTTGAACTTTGCTTGCTCAGTCATATTACCAGGGAGGGCCTTTTTAAGACGTATGATAAATTTGCTTTTAGGAGTTTCAGAAGAGCAAAAATTCTTAACAGTTCATAGAGAGTGTAAGGAAGACATGGCTATGTGGCTTGCATTTCTTAGTAGTTATAATGGCAAAACTATGTTTTTAGAAGAACAATATTTATCAAGTAACTCCATGAAGTTGTTTACTGATGCGGCAAAATCCAAAGGTTTTTCAGGTATTTACAATTCTAGATGGTTTTTTGGTTCTTTTCCAGAGCAATGGAGAAATTTAAATATCATGACACTAGAATTCTATCCAATTGTGCTAGCAGTGTGTATTTGGGGAGATTTGTGGGCAAATCACTCGATCTTATTTTTTACGGACAATGAGGCATTAGTTTCTGTCATTAATAAACAGTCAAGTAAGGATAATAGGGTCATGCAGATGGTTAGATATCTTGTACTCACATGTTTGAAACATAATATCAATTTCCGCGCTAAGCATATACCGGGTAAGAATAATGTTCTAGCGGATAGTCTTTCTCGGTTGCAGGTACAAGAGTTTCTACATTTGGCACCAGATGCACGAAGGGAGCCGTCAGCAATTCCAGAGGAATTGATGCCAAACAACTTTTGGACAACATTGCAAAATTGGCCTCAGCTGCATTAGCCCCTTCTACAAAACTTACTTATAAAAGAGCATGGACAACATTTGATACATTCTCTGTGTCTTTTTAATAAGATACCCAACACTGTTCCATTCAGTGTAACTACAGTTGCTCTTTTTGTGTCAGATTTGTTTCAAGAAGCCTTCTCTCCTAGAACAATATCAACATATTTGTCTGCAATAGCTTATGTTCATAAGATGTTGAACTTTGAAGATCCAACTCGTGCATTTGTCATTCAAAAGTTAGTGGCAGGGGCCTATCGACTAGGCAATACATTCGATATTCGTTTACCCATTACCACAAATATACTGAATCGTCTTCTTGACGTTATCCCAGATGTTATTAACGATAAGTATACACAAACGTTGTTCAAAGCGCTATTTCTGTTTGCATTTTCATCATTTGCTAGAATAGGAGAGCTGATATGTGCGGCCCCTGAGAAAGCTAGTGATGTAGTACAATTAGCAGATGTAACACTTTCCTCTGTTAAAGGTAAAATCACTGCTATAAATGTGTGTTTCAAAAAATTCAAACATAACTCTAATGGGGTACCAAAGGTCATCTCCTTTGCTCATGGTGATTGTAAAATTTCGGCTATATCAGCAACCACTGATTATTTGAAAGTTAGAACAAATTGCCAAGGTCCAATGTTTGTTTCCAATACAGGATCACCCATTCTGCGTACCACTTTTGACAGAACTTTGCGGAGTTGCTTACGCCTTTGTAATTTGGATAGTTCACGTTATAAGGGTCATAGTTTTCGTATCGGGGCTGCTACTGTAGCAGCAGATAAAGGCCTATCTGATGCCCAAATCAGGTCAATGGGTAGATGGCATTCAAATGCTTTCTTAAAGTATATCCGCTCTAATATGTAAGATACCACAAATTGTACCATGACAAGGGCTTTTCCCCTGCTTAGCCATATAACCCTGTTTACTTAAATGCCAAGTTACCTGCTTGGGCTGGTAGCTCTCATTTATTTCATCTGTTAGAAGATTATTCTGTTTCCTGTTGGGTATGGAACCAGTTCTTAATTTTTGTTGCCTAACATTTGTGACCTGAAAGTTGCTTGCTTGGGCCAGCAGCTTTTCTTAAATTTGTTGCCTGACATTTGTGATCTGAAAGTTGCTTGCTGGGGCCAGCAGCTTTTCTTAATTTTTGTTGCCTGACATTTGTGATCTGAAAGTTGCTTGCTGGGGCTAGCAGCTTTTCTTGTTTGGAACATGAAAGACTGTAAAACATCACAATTCCCCCATTTGAAGTTAAGTGTATATATATATGTAATGACTTGTTACTTGCTTGGGGCTGGTGACTTAATGTATATAATACCTCAGTGCACAGTTTAAGTTTTATTCCTTAGAGTTTAACTGTTTTGGGATTTTCAATCAATTTGTACTTCCTTCTAGTCATTAATAAAATTTAAATGAAGTATTAGAACAGGTTTTTTGGTTTGCTTGTGATACTGTTCGAGTTGGAGCTTAACCGGTTGAGACCTTGTTTCATATTCATGCGTGGCTTCTGGTGGGGTAGTTTCAGAGATTTGGCAAATCTCCTCAACTTTTGGAGCCTTTGGACCTCACCTTCTGCCACTTACAATGATTTTTCTAGTCATGTATGTTTGCATACAAGTATTTTGGAATATTGTAATTTTGATGTATTATACCACTTATTGTGTTTGCAATGGTTATAGTTACAAAACTTCTAATATACAGGTTTGTAAGTCTAGACTTGTACATTTTGCTAATGCCTGTAAATTGTAATTGGTCTCAACCGGTGTTTGCTTGCTACATTTTCGTTTGTATATACTAGCTTGAAATATATCAAGTCTTAATAAACAACAATTTCAACATATACATGTGTGTTAAGTTATAGTATTCTAGGTTACTGTTCATTTAATTTTTGCTGGAAGGAGGAAGCATAAATATCATTTATGACAGTAAATAATTTTATGCTGACGAATGATTTAATATTGCAAGTTGTGTTTATATTTGTGTTATGTTCAACATATATATTGTTTATATAGTAAGTTAGTTGTAACTGTAAACCCTTATAAGGGCCTATGCAATTTTTTCCCCACTGGGAGCCTCAGGTTCAATGCTGCAATCTGATTGGTCGAGAGTTAGCGTCGCTTTATAAAGTTTGTAAGACAGTAGACATTTTTTGTGAGGAGGCTGAGAAAAAGTTTTTAAACCCTCCCACCTCTCCCAATTTTTATGAAAAAGAATTTGAGCTATGAGCCTTTGGACCTCACCTTCTGCCACTTACAATGATTTTTCTAGTCATGTATGTTTGCATACAAGTATTTTGGAATATTGTAATTTTGATGTATTATACCACTTATTGTGTTTGCAATGGTTATAGTTACAAAACTTCTAATATACAGGTTTGTAAGTCTAGACTTGTACATTTTGCTAATGCCTGTAAATTGTAATTGGTCTCAACCGGTGTTTGCTTGCTACATTTTGGTTTGTATATACTAGCTTGAAATATATCAAGTCTTAATAAACAACAATTTCAACATATACATGTGTGTTAAGTTATAGTATTCTAGGTTACTGTTCATTTAATTTTTGCTGGAAAGAGGAAGCATAAAAACATTTTAATTCACCTGATCATTCTATTTTATCAATGAAAGTTAGAATTCTGGAAAAGATTTATCACCACACAAATAGTCCGTATTTGAGTACACCTTTCCGTAGACAACCTGAAGAATTTTGGATTAGGAAACTAGGGACAGCCTTTCCCTATGGATGTAATGACAATGTCGATAGTGTGGGAAATCTTACCAGCCCACAGTGTAATAATGTAAATGTGATGAGACTTTTTAACAATACTCAGAGACGTAAGCGTAGTCATGGACATCGTTCGTACAATAAACCTGCAATACACGACGTCTCTTTTGATTCATTACCACCTTATGTAAATCAACAGTTAGGTCTACATCATATTCGAACCAAACTTTACTCTGTCCCTTTGAAACTTTTAAATAGTCTTCTTGAAAAGACCAAGGAACATCCAAATTTAGATTCCTCGACACCTGAATATAGGCTCGGTTCTGTGATTATGGATATTGCACATCATAGCCTTTATAAACCTGTACAACTCACGGAAGAAAATGCAGCTAAAACAATCTGTCTTTTCCTTAAACTTCAATATTCCAATAAAGGTATTGACGCGGTTAATATAAGTAATATTCTTAATCACAAAAGGGTCCAGTCTTGTATTCCACCATATTTCAAGTTAAATACTACGCCTTGTATTTCCTACAAATATACATCGACCATTGCTTCCAAACTTTTCAATTACAAAAACACTTTACATGGTGTGGATATTGACTATCTGAAAAATAATCCCCTTTTGTGTTCATGTTCTTCTTCGCCCTATAACTATAGTCCTGCTGGACACGTTATTACAGGTGACGTAAAAATAGTTCGTAATGAGGACCTTAGATCACTAATTTTAAAAGGTCCTAAATATAGGGAACCCCGATCCTTCAACTGGCGTCGGAATTTCATAAATATTATGAATTCTGTTGAAAATTACGCCAGACGATGGGATAGATATGAAAAAGAAGACATTGACACCTTGTCAGAATGGATTAAATGTATCAGATCCATGTTAAAGTCACGTATTAAAAGATTGAGGGGCAAAGTGAAAACCATCTATCCTTCTGTGTTCAATAAACCCGAAGTGAAAAAAGAATTAGATAGATTACACGATCAGTACGTACTGGTTCCTGCCGACAAAGCAGGTAACAACATTGTCTTTGTTTGTAAGGCTCATAATATAAATTGCATTTTAGAAGAACTTGGATTTAATTCTACAAGTGGTAACCCTACTTATACATATACTTCTCTTTCTAAGGAAGAAATTCTTCAGAATTGTATTGAATACTTTTAATATTCCACAGAGCCAAAATGAATTTGAACTACCTTATATATATTGGATTCCGAAACTTCATAAGAGTCCTTACAAACAAAGATACATTGCAGGTTCCAGTAAATGTTCAACCAAGCCTCTTTCGTTACTTCTCACTAAAATATTGACAGTAATGAAGGAAAAACTTCAAGAGTACTGTACAACTATAAATTCAAGAAGTGGTGTAAATAAGATGTGGATACTTAAAAAGTCTAAAGAACTTTTGGACAATTTGAAATCACAAGACTTTACAAAAATCAACAGCATAAAACTTACGACTTTTCAACTTTATACACAACAATTCCCCACGACAAATTAAAATCCAGGCTTTTTGATGTCATTGACAGCTGCTTCTTCAACAAAAATGGAACTCGTAAGTTTACTTACCTCGTCATTGGTCATTTGAAAAATTATTTTGTTAAAACAGATTCTGATTGCACACATAAGTACTCTGAAGTTGACATCAAGAAGATGCTTGAGTTTCTGATTGACAATATCTATGTGGTTTTTGGAGACCAGGTATTCCAACAATCTATTGGAATTCCCATGGGTACAAATTGCGCTCCGTTATTAGCAGATTTATTTTTATATTCATATGAAGCAGAATTTATGCAAAATCTTTTACGTGAAAAGAAGAAAACACTTGCTGTGGCCTTCAACTCGACATTTAGATATATCGACGACGTATTGTCTATTAATAATGGTAATTTCCATTCCTACGTCGACACGATATATCCTGGTGAGCTTGAAATAAAAGATACCACAGAGTCCGACACTTCTGCTTCATACTTGGATACTTTACTTGAAAAAGACACTAATGGTAATCTAACAACCAAGCTATATGATAAACGTGATGACTTTAACTTTTCTATCGTCAACTTCCCTTACTTATGCAGCAATATACCTTCATCACCTGCATACGGAGTATTTATATCTCAGTTGATTCGATATGCAGGAGCATGCTCTACGTATGAACAATTTATTAAACGATGTAAATTATTGACAAGCAAGTTGATGAAACAAGAATATCAGCGGTCTCGTTTGAAGTCATCATTTCGTAAATTCTATGGTCGATACAATGACCTTGTCAGCAAATACAATTTATCATTGAATGAAATGCTGACTGACGTTTTTCATACCAATTGTTAGTCCATTATTTATACACTGATTTGACCACGGATTTTTTCCGTTGTATCATGATTGTGACGGCGGGCACATGGCGGGTGTGACCGGTCAGCAGGGGATGCTCACTCCTCCATGGCACCTGATCCCACCTCTGATGTTTCGGGGGTCCGTGTTTGCTCTGCTCTTGTTTTGTGTATTTGTTTGATGGACGTTGAGATTGAATACTGTTCGTTATTTCCATATCCTTCTTCTTCAGTCCTTTCACCATTAAGTGCCACATCCCAACTCTCTCTTTTATTAACATTTTCTAAATCCTGGCTTTTACATTTCTGAAGTGTCACATAATTAGCAATATAACTACTTCTCATAAATTGTAAAATCAGATTTGGGAATTGAGAACCAAAATGATACGCAATGATTTCAAACATGGAGTCATGAATAATGGTATACTCAGTACCACATAGTTTTGTGTATGTCCCCTCCATTACTGATAATGCGTCAACAAATTTAAATACATCTGTGCAACTCTCAACTTTACAATTTTCTAACACTTTTGATTTCATTTTACAGAAAATTTCGTTACCTGTGTTTTTTAATATTTCTTTTGAAAGTTTATTGCCGTTTAACATACATAAGACTAAAGTAGCATAGCAGAGTCTATTTTCATGTTGCATTTTGTTGAATTCCTCTAAAATACATTCTTCGGGACAAGTAAAGAAGTTTTTCACACTCCTTCTAAATTTCTCCTCTTTTGAGTATAGTTTACACAACAGAGGAAACATATCCGAAGTTTCTCCCAGTAATGAAGCGGACAACAAATCTCTATCTAACCCATGTTTCTGAAGAATCTCTCTTTTGTCATCATCATTCAATGCATTTTCTTTACTTCTCAATCTGATGTCATTTTACTTATCTAGGAAAAATGATTCGTAACATTCATTAAACACAGCTTCCCGACATGTCATCAATACCTTTGTTCTTTTATTGGGAGGATCTGAAATTATTTTTTCGTAGTCAACTAGAGCCTGTAACTTTTCTTTTTGAAGACCCAACACACCTACCACATCATCCAAGACAAACACCTGTGGATTATTAGAATCACACAAACGGTACACCTCACTGATTTCTATAACTGGTACAACCTCGTAACCTTCCTGCTGGAGTATCAGGGCTATGTGATGAATCGTTGC